AATTCATTAAAGGTCATTTCCAAGATTTAAGCAAGATTTCTTTTCTTATGATTTGAGACCCAAATAATACCAAAGCTAAATGTAAGGTAATTAAAGTCCGAGTCAGCTTTTTCCCGCAATTTTTAAAAATCAAATATCTCGAAAAGAAGTTGTAACTCATCAACATGTTTAGCTTATTTTGTTCCTTAACTAACGCTCTTCTGATTTATAGTATCAATTTTAAATCCTAGATTTTTTTATTTCACCTGTCTACATCCTTAATATATCCTATATGTCATTCTATCAAATTGTTTTGATTTAAAAATTTTAAATAGGTTAAATGAGGAATCAATCACTCAAATTAAAAATTAAAGACTTCTTTTTGTAGTTTGTTCGGTTGTAAAAGCGTATTGTGTACGCTATGGACTGCTAGTGGTAGTAGAATTTGTTATTCTTATAATTGATTGATTGCTGTTGGTGTTTGCTAAACGTTCAATGGTAAATATTTCATTCATATTTTAGACGAAAACACACTTGCATGAGCTCCAAACGGTAGATATTGCAAAGTGCGTCGACCGATATGAAGCAATATTTAAGGAATAACTGTAATATTTTATCTGTCTATTCGAAATAACATCAAAAATGTGATGCACACTGAATAACCCGCGTAGCGGGTTATTTTAAAGTGTGCATCACATTTTTTATGTTATTTCGAATAGACAGATAAAATATTACAGTTATTTCTTATAATTTAATTCTAAATTCCATTTTAAACCGGAGTAAACCATGAAAAAACGTTGATGACGTCATGGTCACAAAGGCCAAATTATGTCTATGAGCTGATAAACAAAACAATGTCAGCCAATCAGAAGACGCGTTACATCCAAAATTAAATTATTTGTAAAAACACAACAAATATGTCACAGTTACCTCCAATGGATATTCCATAAGCTCCGCTAATTCCTTAGACACTGTTTCTTCAAATTTTTCTGGAAGCTCTTCATCCTTTAAGGTTGTGTGAATGACTACAATAACCATGGTGACGTCAACGTGTTTATGCTTAAAACTTTACTGAAACAATAAAGAATCCGAATTCATGAATTTGACCATTTCAATGGTACAGTTTATGCTATAACTACCACTGGGTCGATACCTCTGCTGGTGAAATGTTAGTCCCCGACGGTATCACTAGCTCAGTAACCAGTACTTCGGTACTGGCACGAAAATACGGATATTGTTTTATTGAAATTTGATGTTATATAATTTCGAAATCATTTAGAATTAAAGAATGTATCTACTTCATAGATATAAGAAGATGTGGTATGAGTGCCAATGAGACAACTCTCCATCCAAGTCACAATTTGTAAAAGTAAACCATTATAGATCAAAGTACGGCCTTCAACACGGAGCCTTGGTTACTTCATGTATAGCTCTTGTTTCTAGTCCGGATTTGTCATAACTTTTAGTTCTTTGATTTTATACGCTTGCGTTAGGTTTTAAACTGATTACTGAAGAGACATCAATTGTCGAAATGCGCATTGGATACAATAACATGGTTCCGTTTATTTTATTACAGCATGCGGGCCTAAACGAATAGTTGTTTACATTCACTCCATATGGTCTTTGGTAGTTATCTGTCTTATTAACAACATACCAAATATCTTTATTTTTACTTATTGACAACATACCAAATATCTTTATTTTTATATGCCAAAATATAAATTCATCAAAATATAAATACATAAGAATCAATGTTTTTCAATATGAAGAAACTGTAACAAGTTTTTAATTGACTGTTTTCTAAAATTACAAAAAAGGCAGCTAGAATTATTTTAAACGAACACGATATACGTTAACCATCTATTGAACTATTTAAGGAATCAGGAATTATTCCCGTTACTAAAAGAATATTTTACCACAAGTCATCATTAATGTATAAATCAAAACATGAACTGGCACCAAAATATTTATCAAATCTTATTGTGCCTACAAATAGTAAACAATCATACAATACTCAACTTTCATCATCAGATAATTTTATTGTTCTTAAATTAAATACAGAATTATACAAATCAAGTTTTTTTTTCTTTTAGGGGTCTAAAAGTGTGAAATTAAAAAAATCAAAAACTATATCTGCATTCAAATACTCTTACAAGTCATTATATTCTAAAATGTTAATTTTATAAGTTTAACTACAATGTATACTATAGGTGTATTATTCTTATTATATGTTTATATATATATATATTGTTTATATTTGTGTAATAGTAGATTGATTAAGTTTTATTCATGATGTAGTTAATATTGTATGTAGAGAGCCTTATTGAATATTGGTTTAATCCAAATGAGTTACTCTCTTCAGCATGTTTAGATAAAATTATTATTATTATTATTATTATTATTATTATTATTATTATTATAAATTTGTAGAAAACAAAACAACGACAAGCTTCTCCTAGAAAGAAGGATCCTGTTAAGGGAGAGTTTAATATTCATCGCTTGCATAGGTCAACCCTAAACCTTTTGGAAGGAATATCAAGGCTCCGTTCAGTGATTGAAGTTTGCAATTTATATAGTCAATGTGTTCGAAGCGCTTTTCTTTTTTTACCTTCATTGGGAACACTCAAATATATGTATGTACAGTAGTTGTCGTCTGTTTATGTAGTTCATACGTGTTTCTCGTTTCTCGTTTTTATATTGATTAGACCGTTGGTTTTCCCGTTTGAATGGTTTTACACTAGTCATTTTTTGGGGCCCTTTATAGCTTGCTGTTCGGTGTGAGCCAATGCTCCGTATTGAAGGCCGTACCTTGACCTATAATGGTTTACTTTTATAAATTGTTACTTGGATGGAGAGTTGTCTCATTGGCACTCATACCACATCTTCCTATATATATATACATCTGAATTCCTGGGGAGCTACATGTCCAAAATTGACATCAAAAGAAAGGAATTCAACTTCAACAAGTTCAATAATCAGTCAGTGGACGGTATATTTATGTGACAGTTATTTTTCAACACTATTTTTTTAAATAGTTCTGTAATACCTATATGTGTTTAAACAAAAAGGAAATACAGTAGATTAGCGTTTGGTTCGTTAAAAAAGAGGCATGAATCGAATTGTATCTTTACCAAGAACAAACGCCTATCAATTCTTTCTTTTTTCTTTTTTTTTTTAATATAGGTGCAAAATCATTTCCTAAGTTTCATTTCATTTGTTATTAATCCTTAGTATCGGTTAACTCAAGTAACCGGATGTGCACTTACATGAGCAAAATGAAGGGTGTGACATGTGGTGCAGGATCTGCTTACCCTTTCGGGTCACCTGAGATATTTCTGATGGGGTTCGTGCTGCGCATTCTTTATGTATCTTTGTTGTGTTTTGTAGACTGTTGGTTGTCTTTGTGTCGTTTTTGTCGGGGTTTTTTTTCTTTTTTTTTTTGTCATGGCATTGTCAGTTCGTTTTCGACTTATCCCTTATATTATATATTTGAATATCCCTTGGGTGTCTTTCGCCTCTCTTTTAAACACTTAACTCTCTTAAAATTGGGCACTCGCAAAAACTATTTATTTGTACATATAGAATACATGTAATAGTTTTAAATCATGAAAAATCTTTTTCTAATCCTGCAAACAGTATAAGTATTACGAACTTTTATTTCCGTTGAATGTTGATAATTTAGAAATGTATCCATAACTATGAAAAGGAAACTATCGAACCAATTATCAGGCTAGAAACTTTGTTCAGCAACTTCGACTTACATTCATAGTTATTCAATTATTGACCCGACAATAAATCGGATGAAAACCTGATAATATAAAGGGAAAATTCAGGAAATTCAGTAGTTTTTAACGGAATACCGTGTTACAAACATACAATTGGGAATTGAAGTGCTATAAAGCATTCAAGACACTGTGGAGACAAAAAATGAACAAATTATATGACATTATATGTAGTTAAGTCTGTGCAGGCTGACTGTATCGCCGACGTCAGCTGTTCTCCTAAATAATGTATCATATCATTTATATATCTATACATTATATCTATACGTTATGTTTAACGCTATAAAAAGGCTTTACAAATTCCTGTTTCTGCATGTGTAAAGTTCTACTAATTTACCCAAAGCCCCCCACCACCACCACCATTTTTATTTCTAACAAAGTACATTGTGAAGATCGGTCAATTCGCAGCTACTAAACAGAGCCAATAAAGAAACAAATCATTGAAAATAAATGTGGTATTCAATGTTTAAAATGTAAATTAGAAGACAAGAAATATAATATAAATGCCTATGGCCGGTAATGTAAACCTTGAGATGACCCTTCTAAAAAAATAAAAAAGGATACTTGTTGTCCTAGGCATAGGCGTAAGCGTAAGCGTCAGTATCGATTAGTTTTCGTAAATGTCTAATATTACGTCTGACGGGTTACTGTATACAAACATCGTATTTAGAAACAAATATGTACAAGATCTTACTGTAATTTTTTTTTGAAATATATTTCTGTTGATAAAAATGTAAGTTAATGAATATATTAGAATTGACATTAAATTCATTGAATGAAATATAAATAAACTCATCAAAGATACCAGAATTAAAATTGTGTACGCCAACCACGCGTTTTGTCTACATCAAAACTCACCAGTGGCGCTCGAACCAAAAAAGTTCTAAACCACTGTTTTCCCTTCTTTTAAATGTAATCTTCATGGTTACTAATAAGGCTGTAAACCCAAGCAAAAGAGATTTTTCTAAATTCAAGGAATATAAAAAGCAGACACTTACCTTCAACACAATCCACAGAAGCATGGGTAGTTCCTCATTACATCCGTCTCTTTTATAGTTCCTACATCGCATTTTTTTGACGTAGTAGGCTAATTGATATGACCCACTATAATGGATGCAAAACGCTGTCATCCTATCAAAATACCTGCTTTGATATACAAATAAGGAAGAGTGGGCATGGCTTTCAAGAATGAAGTAAGAACTTTACAGGTGCATGATACATTTAACTGCGCATGCCATATCTAATACGTTGTTTAAAAAAGTGCTCTTGATTAATGATCATATTTTCAACCCCTGCTTCTGTTTTTTGGAACGACTGAATTACGAGAATTAAAAATTCGTATCTAGTAACATTGTCAAATATAGTGAAAGAAATTCTATTGACCTTTTGCATGTTCTGTTATATCGACGCAAAATCTGACATTTAAAAACTCGTTTTGCGCAATATCGACAATTTCCGCAGAAGATAACAAATGTAAAGGTAAGAATGCGTACTTTTCTTTTGATATATATATATGTGTGCGTTTACTGTATAGTGTGCTTAGCCTTTTCAAGAAAAATGCTAATTTCAGTTTTCACTGTAGTCATGCAAGAACATGTATTGTATGACCCTAAGAGCTTAATTATGATATATATATATATATAATTTAATCTGTTAAATCCATGCAATGAATACAGTATTTTGATACGCAATATGTTGAATATCAACAAAAAAGTACACAAAAGCAGCAACAAATGGGGAAAAAAAAGATACATCTATAGACATGGTAGAAGGGCGCAAAAAACGTATTAATTTTTTTTCAAATAAGTCATTCAATAAAATATGTGTACTTATATGGATATTGTTTTATTGAAATTTGCTGTTATAAAATTTTGGAAATCATTTTAGATTAAGGAATGTATATCTGGTTCCTCGTCTGTTTTTGGTTTTACTTTTGATACTTTTTGGTTAAATCAGTTCTTAGAGGCTCATTTTTGCGCCTGTCCCAAGTCAGGAGCCTCTGGCCTTTGTTAGTTTTGTATGTTATTTAATTTTAGTTCATTTACATGTTTTGGAGTTTAGTGTACCGTCCATTTTCATTGAACTAGTACACATTTTTGTTCAGGGGGCCAGCTGAAGCCCGCCTTCGGGTGTGGGATTTTTTCGCTGTGTTGAAGACCCATTGGTGGCCTTGAGCTTTTTTCTGCTCTTTGGTCGGGTTGTTGTCTCTTTGACACATTCCCCATTTCCATTTTCAATCTTATTTCATTGTATTGGATTTTAAATTTCAAATAGTTTGGCCTTGAGGATCACTGAAGACATATTATTTGTCAAAATGCCCATTTGTGGCCGCGAGGATCACTGAAGGGATATATTATTTGTCAAAATGCCCATTGGTGGTCTCGAGGATCAGTGAAGAAATTTATTATTTGTCAAAATGCCCATGTGTGGCCTCGAGGATCACTGAAGAAATGTTATTTGTCAAAATGCCCATTGGTGGTCTAGGGGATCACTGAAGAGATATTATTTGTCAAAATACCTCTTGTGGCCTCGAGGATCACTGAAGAGATATTATTTGTCAAAATGCCCATTTGTGGCCTCGAGGATCACTGAAGAGATATTATGTCAAAATGCCCATTTGTGGCCTGGAGGATCATTGAAGAGATATTATTTGTCAAATGCCCATTTGTGGCCTCGAGGATCACTGAAGAGATATTATTTGTCAAATGCCCATTTGTGGCCTCGAGGATCACTGAAGAGATATAATTTGTCAAAATGCCCATTTTTTGCAATAAAATTAGTAGCGTCAATGTTACTATATAATAACTGATTTTTATAGTTTGTTCATATGTTGTGCTGTTACAACACTGCCCCAGGTTAAGGAAAGGGTTGGGCGCCCGCAAACATGTTTAACACCACCAAATTCTGTATGTGCATGTCCCAAGTCAGGAGCCTGTTATTCAGTGGTTGTTTGTTGCTGTTTATCATACATATTTGTTTTTCGTTCATTGTTTTGTACATGAATAAGGCCATTACTTTTCTCGTTTGAATTGTTTTACATTTGTCATTTCGGGGTCTTTTAAAGCTAGCTATGCGGTATGGGTTTTGATCATTGTTGAAGGTCGTACGGTGACATATTGTTGTTTATCTCTGTGTCATTTGGTCTCTGGTGGCTAGTTATATCATAGGCAATCATGCGACATCTTCTTATTTTTATATATGCAAGAGGAAAATACATTCTTTAGGTTAAAAAGAATTTTCAATTTGGTTTTAAACTGATACTTTGACATATACATTTTGTATATAAATGTGATTGTTATTTGCATCATCCAGATGTCAACTCTATGTTTATTCTTTATAGCTTATAAGTTTTTTTTTCTCATAGTTTCCCAGCACTTGTTCTTATTCTTGATAATAAAAACGGGCCGTTAGTTTCCTCGTTTGAAATGTTTTACAATTGCCATTTCGAGGCCTTTTATAGCTGACTATGCGGTATGGGTTTTACTCATTGTTGAAGGCCGTACGTATTGTTGTACCTTCTGTGTGCTTAATAGTAACTTATAATTCATGTCATATGGGTGCTTTCTTTATTAAGCTGTCTATTATATGTGCTTTATTGTATTAAGCTGTCTATTATGTGTGTTTTATTGTATGAGGGTCTGGATGGGAGGGGAGGGGAGGGGTCTTCATTTCTCTATTCTTTAAGTTTTAGCCATTGTATTTCAGCACCCCATTATTCTCTATTATTTAATCTCTTTTTTTTTTTGCCTATTTTCTCTATTCTTAATTTGTTTACCCATATTCCTGTAGTATTGGCTTATTATTCTCTATTCTGTAAACTTGAATTAAGCTGTTTATTATATGTGCTTTGTTGTAACTCTTTATTATACATTTATACATTTATGCTTGATATGTGCTATTGCATGAATGGATATTATATTCTATGTTTGATGATACTTCAATCACACATTATATGTGCAAAATAACATATGTCAATATTATTATTTGTTCATGTTTATTTTATATTCTATAAGTTACATTGATTAAATAAATACCTGTAATTACCTGTTGTACTATTTCATAACAAATTAATCTCTGTCAAAACAATTCCCGATTGTCTCACATTTAGACTTCCCAATTGTCCCACAAACATCTTCCCGATTGTCCCACAAAATTTCATTACTTTTTTACCTGTAATTTCAAAAAGTGGGACAATCGGGAAGACACCCTTTCATCATCCAGATGTCAACTTTATGTGTATTCTTTATAGGTTATAAGTTTTTTTATTATCAAGAATAAACAAGTGCTGGGAAATTATGAGAAAAAAAAACTTATAACCTATAAAGAATAAATATAAAGTTGGCATCTGGATGATGCAAATAACAATCACATTTATATATAAAATGTATATGTCAAAGTATCAGTTTAAAATCAAATTGAAAATTCTTTTTAACCTAAAGAATGTATTTTACTTCGGAAACACATTATTATTTTTGTTTGACTAGAATTATTATTTATGCATTTGCCGTACACAAAAATATTCATCATTCAAGATACTCTCAAAAAATCTAAGACCAATATTAAAATTATCATAGCGTACATTATGTATAACGCAAAAATAAATCTTCTACTACTGATGGCATGCTATCTGAATGTTGACCGAGTTTTTTTAAGTGCACTTGTTCTCACAGTCATGTATTTTAGAGTACTCACAAAGTATTTTGTCACCAATTAAGAAGCTTTTCAAGGTCGATTCTTGTTTATTCTCACAATAAGATTTTGCTGACACTAAAGAACTGTTCAGACTCACCCTAATTAGTAAATCCTTTATATTCTTGTTTTCATGAAAAGACCTTCACATTGAAACATAGGTTTCGTAGTTGTCTTTTATTTTTAAAAAAATGTTTGCTGTTGCTAAGCAACATGTGGGTTTCTATGCTCGATATGGAATTCGTCAAAAAAGATTAATGATAATCTAGATGTTTACATTATAGTTTGACCCCATATGAGAAAGTCTATTCTTCCAAAATTACTAAATTCATACTTCAGATAACATAAAGATCCCATTATTGAACGGTTGCTATGCACTTGTTATGGAGCTATAAGTTGTTGATAAGCATTAAGTGAACTACAATTATTTCAAACTAAAAGTTGTTCATTAACAGACAATCTGCATTTTACCTTACTTGGTATAATAAACAAAACTACGTATGGCAAAATTTATTTGAGATTGGTACCCCCAAGAAAATACCCCACCACCACCAATAACATACATATCCCCAGCATATAACAAGCAAGTACATGTAACAAAAAAGTCCAAATGCTAGTAATATATGTGTAGCAAGTCTATAATATGGCTAAAAATAGCAGCAGTTATCACGCAAACACAACACCCTTAGTAATGCTACTGGGAGGGTGGGAGGGAAAGCTAGCAAAATGTTTCGCGTGCAGCCATGAACAAAGTACTGTTTGAAAGCATGGTCCACTCAAACGAGGCTTGAAAAAATGGGGTTTGCAAAATGCTTGAGAGAAAGCGCGGTAAATTCAAACCTATCTGCTAAAACAAAACTACGCATGGTAATATTTATTTGAGCTTGGTACCCCCAAGCAAATAAACCCCCCAATAACATACATATCCCTATCATATAACAAGCAAATACATGTAACAAAAAATTCCCAAACCCAAAAAGGGGTAATTAACGTGGTAAAAGGGAATTAAAGGTAAAATGAAAAAAATGGTACCTAATTCTCGCTTAACCCCCGTTAACAAATGCTTAATATTCCAAGAACGACAACAGGGTCCTTTAGTTCATGCATCTTATGCAAAACACTAATAATGTGTATGTAGGAACGAATAGAGCCATAAGCAAAATGTTTCTTGTCAACTAAATAAGCAATGTAAAGTTCCACAATTTGTTGGTCAAACGGCACTGGTTTAAGCTTTTAGTCTTCACAAAACTTAACGTACGTCTTCAAGTGCGTACGGTATGTTCCGGAGGTGGAATCAGCCCACCCCTTGCCTTCTAATCGTTCTACAGCTATCTCTAGGTCCGATAGAAGATATGTGCCATCTTGAAAGATAAAAGTCTAACGAAACATGTGTCAGTAGTTCATGCATAGTAAAGGGAATGTAACTATAGCTAGTCAATATTTCATAAAGTTTAGAAAGTTGACCGTCCTCGTGAAGCCTCGAGGCAGCATCGGCTATGATATTACACCGTCCACTCAAATATCTTGCTTGAATGTCAAAATTATACATAGTGGACAACCAAAATAAATCCCTCAGTATGCACATTAACCACTTGTTGTTTGAGGTTCCTTTATTCAAAACGCATTTTGTCGTCATATTGTCTGTAAATACAATGACGAATTTGTTTGTCCATAAGTGACCCCAACGGAGCACAGATAGAATAACGGCGACTGCCTCCTTAACGTTAATATGTTCATTCTTGACGGCCGGAAACTCAATAGCCCAATTCACATAGTGGAAATCTCCGTTG